TGTACAATTTACACCTCGGCTAGGATCGACAAGGATTTATAATGCCTATGACGACAAACGTTCCCAAACAAATTCTTCCCCTCCTCTAGCGCCACAGTCCTCCTCGGGCCGAGGCCTACTTTATTGCAGAGGTTTTATAACTTTGTTACAGAGAGGTGATATGACTCAGGAATGGGGATTATTCCACCGTTTCTCATCTACCAACCACACGATCAACAACGGCCATGTCCTTTGGTAACCCACAAAAGTTGAATCACAGAATTTTTATGCGAAAACGCGTTCGAAAATTAAAATACTTTACATGAACTACGTGCAAAACGTAAAGGCAGCCAACATCTGCAAATTGCAATAGAATATAAGCAAGGAAATTAAGTTCCTGCTCTGAACTTACCGATTCATGTATATATTCATTTATTCTTGGTTTATCAACGCTTTCATTTACTCAGAAGAGTCAAATGATCGGTTCATTAGCATATAATAAATTGGAAAGGATATGTAAGAAAGCTGTTGTAGCCGGATTTAAGTCCCTATCCTGGAATTTCCCCGGAGAGACTGAGGAAAACAACGAGAAACCTGTCAGAACTGCAACTGGGCCGAATTTTAAACCCAGAACCTACGGCAAACGAAGCAAGAGTTAACAACTGGACCGCGATGTTTGAATTTGAAATGTATTCTCTCTTCATAAAAAGTTAAATTCCGAGGGACTTGTCTTTAAATTTTTCGTTCCCCAAATAAATTATAAATTATCGCTCTAAAGAAACATTAAATTGTGAATGAATAAAAATTTCCTTGCGGAATAAAATTCTACAACAATTTCTTTGTTATTTTTTCGACATGAAAGCATAATAATTCCGTATCTGATAAGCTAAACGCCTTAACAGTGACGTATCTTGCCGCCTAGGCGAACAGACCGGATAGTCACTCGCCCCGCCAAGACAGTGCCGCCAACTGCAGAAACTGGCGTTAAATTTCGTACCTAACAGACAAAATCCTCACGTCGATAAACGTAGGGCACCGTAGCTTCTGCGCAATTCTATGCTCGTTACAAGTGAACACACTTTCTTTATCTCGTTGTCTCAAGCCGTAACTGTGTCGCGCCACAGCGGAAATTTTGACTAGCTTGCATTTCCTCCAGTTAATTAGATTGCAAAGAGTCTGCATTATCGCTTACGAGTTCCTTCTATAGAGAAGTGGACGTATAATGGATTAGGCATTAACCACGCTGAATTCTGCAGCAACGCTATGCTCCTCCTAATTGGCAGCCAACTCCCAAGCATTCCTTTGTTGACATAACCTTTGCTCGATCTTTGTTCTCTGACGAGGTCAGTCGCACATAATAAAACCAGGCGAAGGCTCCTTCAGCTGGGCCAATAAAACGCGACTTACAGGCATTAAGAGAGGGGAAAAAATCAGTTTTAAGAAATGAACAGAGCACTCACTAGAAGGTGAAATTACAAGTTAAATTTCGCCAATAGAACAATATGTTTGCATTTTCGTGTGACGAGAATTATTTAGTTATTTAACGACGCTGCTTCAAAGGCATCTGATGACCATAAACAGTGAACATACATTGGCTTTAAACCACATAAAAAAACTGGAAAAGGACAAGCAGAAACTCAGCCGAAAACACAAAACCTTCACGTAAAAAAATTTAAACTTTACCAGTGCACCAATTTGCAGGGTTTGGAGGAGCGACGCAGTTATCAACTGCAGAGATGACGTCGCGTCGATTAGGATTAGGAATATTTTATATTTTGTAATGAAACTGAAAAGGATTAGGGAAGAACCCGCGGTGGATTATCTGAATAAACTATAACAATATTCGATTGGAGAGCCTGAGAAAGCCCATGAAAACCTTGGGAAAAAAATCCGTGCTCTGACCGAAATAAAGTATACTGGACGCAGAATATCTGTTAGCCACAGGCGCAGACAAAGAAATATCAAGACTACAGACTGCTTTACTAACTCCATGAAGGAGAATCCCTCATAAGAAGCTACTTACGAAATTTCACGCCTTTTCCGATAATAAAAGTTCCTTTGCTGATTTCACAGGAGCGCTGGTCCCTGCCCAGAGCCAAATGAATCCATTCTACACCCTCTCACTCTCAATTCTTTACGATCCAACTTAAAATTGTTTTACCAGCTACGTCGCAGGCATTCAGGCTCAACGTGGCCATTTTAATAATGCGCCATATTACCTAAGTTCAAAGACGCCATCGACTGATTTCGTAATAGGTTTTCAGGAAAAGGGCGATATATCGATTCTTAGAAGCCATCAAATATAAGACGCACACCAATTTAAGAAATTTTAAAATGTGAGAAAAGAAGTGTCTTAAAATCTAGGAAATATGGAATCAAGTGAAGAGAATAAATTATGAAGTTCCTCACCATGCATTTTTCTCTACCATCCACTCCCGGTTCATAATTTCCCCCGAAATAACGCAAATTCCCAGTCCATGGTAATATACTTAACTGTCTTAGCAGTACCACGTGTAAATTCCAATAAAACTTACATCAGCGCCATGTCGTAAGCTTTGGGGCAGAGCAGAGAGAGAGGTAACTTCTGGTACCTTCAGATTAACAGTGCGTGTAGGATAAGAGAACAGCTGAAGTTGAAAAATGAGGTCGGGGGCAGAACACATGAATTTGACGCTACAAAGGTGTTGGCATCAGCGATTGGCGGTGGAATGTGACATCGGAAAATAATCGTAGCGTCACACAAGAAAGCAAATTAAGTGTCTCCAACGTTGTAAAAAAGAACGGGGCACCCGGTAGGTGGGACGAGCCGGCCCCTGGCATATATTCCTCGCATTCAAATTCCACTAGATACCGGCAACTATATATTATCCTCGCGATCTAATCGTCCGTTCAATCAGCACTCAAGAGTTTTACGTCACGAAACCATCACGTGTTTGCCAATAGTATTGCCGCTGAAGGATGTAGAGTGCCACGTATTTTCTATCTTGGCACGTAGTGGAGATGAGTGGTCAGTTTGACGCCATGACCGCTTAATCCCACGGCCCTCATTGAATAAAAAGTTGTGTCGGCTCCCACACGGTGGCGCAGGGGAAAAAACATCTGCCCTTCCTAATGACCTAGCCAAGGCTGACCAACCTGTGACCAGTCACTTGAATGACCAAACTTTTGTGGCCCTTAATATCGGGACTCCACGCTGCAGAGTATTTGAGATGCTAATAGTCGATCACCTTTTATGGAACCCGTTCATTACCGTTTTCAGTTTCTCATCCAGATGATTCCAGTATGTACCAATTTTATTTAAAATTTGTTCAGTACTTTCCTTCCTATACTTCAATTCCAATAAAGTGTTCTCTTTTCTCAAGTTTTCATACAAAAAATCTGTATCCGTTTTACGTTTCCCATGCGTGCTACACATAAATAGCACGGTGGCTTACAGAGGCATGTTTCCTCCAAGCGAACGTCGAAAGGACTAAATACAAAACACGACGATCACTATATGCAGCCCATATATCTGAAACAACGTCGTCAAATTGACCCTAGAATCGACAGAACGGAGATGTTTCTCATACCGAATATTTTCCACTCATGTTTCACACCTGTCTAGGCGATGCAATGACCTGCGAAGATTATTCAACGTCATTAAATAAGCTAAATATCAACTACCACTACCGTTACAAATTGCAACATTTTGAACTGACCGCGAGCTCTGGACGGCAGAAATTCGATACAGCCGCGGGGTTTCTTTCCAGTCATCCTCAAATTAATTCTACTGCTCATTGCTGGTGTTAATTAATTTGTTCTCTGCTGTATCCTGCCTCTTTTGGAATTCCTCTATGACGCTGCTCATCATAAAGACATTCACGATTTGGCAAAGTGTCAACAACATTTACCCAAGACTATAAGGACAGAAGAAGCACTTGGCACTGAAAAGTCTGAAATTCTGTCCGCAATGTAAGATTTGAGATACGTAACTCAGGCAGAAAAGCAGAGCTTGGAGTGTCCTCTCGCTTACACAAACTCAAAATTTTCGTATTCTTTATTCGATCTACTCTCACGTAACCTGCTACATTTTAGTAAACACTTCACATCACATATGTTTGCATTCTTGAACTGTTAAAACAATTCTGACTGCTTTTCTAAATAAATTCGTGTGTCATTTCTTATTGCAATGTCATATCCTAAATACAGGCCAATATTGAACCACTATCACTTCAAAATATACCCTCATTCCAATAAATTTGGCAGTAAACATCATCATAAGTTACACAACAGTAATTAAGTTTTAGTTTATAAGATTATAATTTTTAACTTTTAACTTTACACCTGAAGATGGTTCAATGTAACCGAAACATGTAGTAAAAAGATGTACCAAATATGTAAATGATATTTTAATATCTTATGTATAAATTTTATTTATATACAATTGTGATTAGACGGAAAAAACACGAATAATTAAATTTTAATTCACAATATGACGCAATTATATCAACTTATAAATAAATAAAATTATTCACTCGTTAAATTATTTGATTTCTTTGTGAGATTCTTTAATTTTCTGACATTACGAAATTATATTTTTGTGGTCACTGTGCTGTTTGATTTATACACAGCCCTTTGCACAACGTCCTCTGTTTCACAGGCCTCTACCGTCTTTCCATTTTGTTTTTTGTCTTCCGGGAGTGAATGTGTGCAATTTCACTCTACAAATATTACCAGAATGACAAATGAAGGCTGGTGAAATGCGAGTGGAAAGCAGCAAGCCTAAGAGATATGAGAAATGCGAACAGAAATTCGGTTGGAAGTTCCACAGAGAACAAATCACTTCGTTGATGTAAGCACCGACTGATCAAAATGATCTTGAAGAAACAGGGTGTCACGTTGTGGACCAGATTAGTTCAGAATTGCAACTAGTGACTGGATGTTGTATACATGGTAATGAATATTCGGGCTGCATCAACGGCTGGGAATTTGACCAACCGATCGACTAATAGGTTCTCAAGGACTATATTACATCGACTTACCGACTCCTTTCTGGTGTGTCTAAGTCGGGATCTGCTCTGTGCCCTTTCACCTGAAAATAAGAATCACTCAGTTAATTACATTTATCAATTACAGTAGCCTATCTCAAGCTTCAAAAATAACATTAAATATATATATATGCTCATTATTAAAGCCTGTAGCCTTTTAAGGGGCCTCTTCCTAGGCGTTCCCCCACCAAAACGTGTAACAATTACTGCCGAACGCAAATCATAATCAATCACGTGACTGCAGGTTTTAGTACCAAGCAAATATTATAAAGGACACGAAATTGTTGTATAGATATTTAAATCGCATGACGTCACGCCTAACTCACTACTTTCAGAACAGAGACAAAATGCCATGGGGGCAGAGACGGGAAAGAAGAAACAAAACACCATCAGGATAATGGAGCAGAATGTCTGCCCTATCATTCGTTATGGATATTGGATTTCGACGCTACCAAAATTATCATTCATAAGCACAAAACAACTCCCCAGCTCCATACAGAAAACTACTTTGCTACTTTGCAATGGAAATATTCTAAAGTTCCACGGAGGGTGGAACTGGTTGAAGAGGGTCTCGAATTATATAGTATTATATATATTACCTTAGCCGTGGAGCCAAGTTGTCAAAACAATGAGATTATCTGGATGTTCCATAGTCACCACAGCGACGGAAAATAAAGAACCAAATACATTCTACTGAAACACGCTTCGGTAATTAAATTTCGGAACAGGTTGTACCAACAGCTATGTAATAACGCGATATAGTATTCTATAAAAAATATTCCCTGCCACCACAAACTTTCATAAGCCAGCTCTCACACAGACAGGAAAATACATTTCCATTGAGGGCAATTTGTTTTACTGCTCACAGCCAATTAACGGGCATGTCATAATTGCAAATAAACGAACTACACACTACGTTGCGTCTGTGAAGGAGAAGTTTGCCTGACGAAATTTTACTCGGCATGTGAACGAGACGCAATGTGGGTTCCAAAGAATTTTCAGTCGTGTTAAGAAACAAATCATTCGACACATACAGTAACCTCACAATGAGCATTACATAAGTTCGATAATTAGTCACTTTGCGAAGTCGCGACATGAGATTACGTGAAGTGAATCGAAAAAAATTAGGGATGAAA